CGGCTGACCCCCATCCCCGCCAGCATCACGCTCAGGGGAGCCAGGCTCCTCAACTGGATCTGTCACCCCGGTTGCCGTGCGCTGCAAGGTGGATGTCGCGCCCATCTTGTTACCAAACTTGAACGCGGTGTTTGCCAAGCCTGCAGCAGGCAAGGAACTGATGAACTGATGAAGGGAGGCAGAGCAGGCAGGCAGGCAGGCAGGCAAGGCAGGCAGAGCCTGCAGGACCAAGGCATGGAGAGACTGGCTGGCTGAGCGTGGCCACCAGGCGCACCTGGCGGGGCGTCGAGCTTGCAGCCCGTGACAGCATTCATCATCATCTCAACATGCTTCCCCCCCACGACTTCGGCAGCTGTACAAAACTCCATAACTCGCAAAAGGAACTGCAAGTTCTCCGCCGTCGCCCCCTCCGCAATGTCGGCAACCATGCGTGGCGTCACCCGCCGCCCGCCGGCGGATGCCACTATCTCCACCAAGAGAGCCTTCAGCAGTGGGACCATGCCGGCAAGATTGTGCGTTCTAGCCCATCCATTGCTGTTGGAGTATGCAGACTGTAACAGCAGAACGCCCCGCAGGTCAGGATGCGCCTTGGTGACTCTGTCCCAGTTTTGCAGTAGAGCTGTAACATGCTTGTGTTGGGACTTGCTGGTGCCGCCTTTCAGGCGTTTGGCAGACACGCCGAGACTGCTGCCTTTGCCACCAGAGTTGGTCGCTTCGTCGCGGCCCATAGGCCCCGCTAGAATGGCATTTGGGCTACCCGGAGTCGATCACGACAAACGAGAGGGAAAATGGTGGAGGTTTGAGGGAGATGAAGCCTGAAATGCATGATGGGTGGGGGATGCATGACCCCCGCCAGGAGGGGACCGGTGATCGGGAGGCCTACCTGGCACATGAGCGCAAGCATGCATTGGGTCCTGCTTGCCCTTGTGTGGTCATTCACCTGCTGCAGCCTTGGCTCAGAATTGCAACCGATGCATGTGTACGATCCACGCAGCAGAATTGGAGTGTTACCAAGCCCTCTACGCTGGCAGGCCTGGAATATGCCGCCACGCCTCCTCTACCCTTGCAGTCTCGCCTGCAGCGATTCCCCGTGGCACCTGCCACCTGGCCGCAGTTCGGAGAAGGTGAGGAAGAAGAGCGCTGAGTCGACGCGTCAACCGCAATATCGCAAACTCTGACTCTCGCTACGACCAGGAGGCCATCGACAAGCTGCTGAGGCCTATTGGATCGGCGCGGGACAAACAGGGCGGCGTCCTCCGCCACTGCCTGCAGGCAGCGCAGCACAAGGCGGCGCAGGCAGCTCGGGGCAGAAAGGTGGCTGTTGCGCCGAGCCGGTGGCAGGGGCAGCTGGCAGGGGAGCAGCCAACGCAGCCGCAGGTCGCAACCCGACATCCCCGCAGCAGAAGCGGCAGCACCAGAGCGAGCGCAGCAAGCGGCAGCGCCAGGCGGAGGAGCAGAGCCGCCAGTCGCCTGCTGAGCGCGGCGGCGAGTCTTGATCTTCCAACCCCTGCTTGCTCTTTCATTTGCAATGCTGCCGAGTGCATTGGATTATGCATGTTTGAGTGAGAGAGCAGTAGAATGAGCATGTCAAGCAGCAGGGAGGCCAGGAGGCACGGCTGGCGTGGCAGGCTGGCGGGTTTGTTGGCCGCCGAGGCCACTACCCAGGGCGCCGGCGCCCAACCCCTGACGGGCAGTGAGCCACAACTAAGGGGCTGGAGGCGCCGACTGCCGCGGCGTCTTGCTCTCACGGGCTGCCGCGGCCAGCAGATATTGCAGCTGCTCCGTGGCCGTGCGGCGCACTGCGGAGGGAACCTGGGACCTCAGCCGCTGCTGCACAGCAGACGCCGCCGCCTCCGCCACCACTGATGCCGCGGTGCCGATCACCGCTGCCCCCAGCTCCGGGGCGGTTAGAGCCGCCATGGCCTGCACCGCCGTGGCGCGAATGCGCTCCTCGGCGTCCGCCTGCGCCGCTTGCAGCACCTGCGGGCAGCCGGGGCACGAGCACGGTGGTGCAACCCGGGGACTCTCCCAAGGCGAGGCGATTCGTGTCGCTAGACCTGGATGGTAGGCTCAGCTGGGGCCTCACATTGGTGGTGTGCGCGGCGATGAGCTGCTCAGCCAGAGCCTCCAGGTACAGGCGCACAGAAGGGTGCAGCATCGACGGCGCCGCCGCCTCCTCGCCGCCCGTTTCCCTCGCCTGCTGGTGCTGCTGCTGGCTTTCGGCGGCCACCGCCGCTGCCGCCTCTGCGCCAACAGCGGCAGCCACGCCAGCAGGAGAACTTGTGAAATGTCGGTTTGGGGCAAGCATGCGAGCCCCGCTTCCCACGCAAGTCAGTCGGGCGGGCCGGCCAACACGGCAGGGAGGCCCCACCTTTGAGCTGCGCCGCGATGGCGTCGCCGGCCGGCAGCAGCTGGGCTGAAGCTGCTGAGCTGGCGGCGTTATAGGCCAGGATGTCGGACACATAATCCACCACGTCCCGCAGCTTGACCTGCAGTGAAGAGTGGGGATCCAGAATGGGGATCCAGAATGGAGAGAGATACCATTCTTGTGGCTAAGAGGAAGAGTAGACACCATCAGGGAAAGGGATGAAGAATATCAATCTGGCAAAGGACAGGAGAGGGCAGGTCGCCCCAGCAGCTCCCTGCCCACCTTGTGCTCATCGGTGCTGTACTGCTCCAGGAAGGCGCGCTGCAGCTGCAGCCTGAGCAGGTCCCTCGACGCATCCTGCTGCAAGGCGGCTGCCACGCCGCCCTGCAACGCGGTACGGGCAGCTGCGGCGCCGCTGGGCGCGGTGGGGCGGATCTTCTTGACTCTGCGAGCCTGCTGCTGCTGCTGCAAGCCGCCGCCGCCGCCGCCGCTGGCAGCAAACAGCTGCCGCGAATGCTCCAGCGTGGGACAGCAGAGGTGGAGGAACCGCGAGTCCAGCAGGCCATCCACGGCGGCCAGGCTGGAAAGCGCGGGGCAAGTTGCGCCACCGGCGCTGCTGCTGCTGCTGCCGCTGCTGCCAGGGGCGGTAGGCATGATGTCCGGGCCCACGCGCTCCGCAAAATCATCCAGCACTGAGCGCAGGCAGAAGGCTGCCAGGCTGAAGTGCGCCTGCTGCGGCTGCAGCTCGGCAGAGCCATGCAGCGCCGCCAGGCGGGCCAGCAGGCATCGGAAGTATGGCGCCCGCACCGCCTCGGCATCCCACGGAAGGAACCAGAGGTAGCGCACCACCCAGGGCAGCGCCCAGGCCAGAGGACCGCCCTCGGAGGCCGCCGCAGCCGCCTCTACTGTCGCCGCCACATCCACCAGCCCGGCTGCCGCCGGAGCCGCGCTGTCCGCCTCGCTGCTGCCCGCCCCGGCGCTGCCCGAGCCTGCAAGCAAGGGGCACGGCAGCAGCGGCTCAGCGAAACACAGGGGAGGCTCACAACCAGCCGTGTCAACATCTGATGCACACGCAATGTCAACCACAGGCCAAGCTGGCCCACCTGCGTAGCCTGCCCGAGTGAAGGTGAGGTAGCCCAGGAACATGGCCAGAGTGCTGACCGCTGCCACACGCTCGCTGAAAGGGAGCAGACAACGAGAGCAGCGAGCGGCATCAGGCAGCAGCTGACACTGGCCAAACAGCCGCAAGCCGCTGCAGCTGCCATTGTGAGGGTGGGGGTGGAAGCATAATATGCACGCACCTCAGCCCGCCACTGGTATGCTCGCCAGCTGTCAACGTCCGCAGCTTGCCGCTCATGCATCTGCACACACACACGCTGGCAGACAGCCAAGGCAAACGTCGGGGCACAGCACAGCCCGCAGCATCAGCGGCACCACGGGCACAACACAGCATCACTCTGAGCCGGCCGTGGGCAGCTTGGCTGCCGGAATGGCCCAGGGTGCTTGCCTGATGAGGTGGGCGTTGAGGCGGTGGCTGTCGGCGGCCTCCAAGAAGAGCACATAGAGGCGTTGGGGCCGAGGGAACTCAGCCACCAAGCGCAGCGACTCAGCAACCGCCTCATCCGCGCCGCCGCCGCCGCCGAACCCTGGCCCCCCGCCGCCTGGGCGGCCGCCAACCCCTCGCTGCCCATGCTGCTGCCCATGCTGGCGCCCGCCGCCGGCGCCAGCGGCCCAGCGCGCCTGCTGGCCGGCGCCGCCGCCGCTGCGGCCAAAGCCTGTGGCTGTCATCGGCTGGTTGGATTGCAGGCGGGCGGCGCCACCCCTGCAGCCCGGCAGCCGCAGCAGCGGGTCAGACTAAAATATCATTTCGTTACTGCATTACTTAACAACCAGCACATGACAGCCCATGTCACACCAACCACAGCGGCACGGCCCACCTGCTGGGCCCAGCGGCGCCCTGCGCCTGCAGCCGCTGGTTCAGGCTGTGGAAGCGCCCCACGTTCTTCCGTGCCAGGCTGGACAGCTCCTCATCCAGGAGCGTCTCACCCGTGGCGGCAGCCTGCAACGTGGTGGCAGCGGGAAGAAGTGCGAGGGTTCAAAAAGCTGGTTGAAATGCAGGCAAGGCAGGCAGGTAGGCCGGCAGGCAGGCGCGCGCCGTTCCACGCAGCGCCTCGCCTGCAGCACTGCGGCGCTGAACAGCTCGGCAAAGGCGCCAAAGTTGTCAGGCCGCAGGCGGCGCAGCAGGTCTCCGGCGCTCTGCTGCATGAGCTGCAGCAAGCCCGCCTCGTCGCCGCCTGCGGCGGCAGCGCCCAGGGGACGAGGCACGGCAGCAGGGCGAGCCTCGGCAGCGCGACGCAGCTTTGCTAGATGATACATACATGGCCATGCACCTGCGCTCTGCCACGCTCCCAAGATCAAGCAGCTCCAGCCTGCCTGAACGGTCAAGCCTCTATCGGTTGCTGTATTGCAGCAGGCAGAGCACCGCTGTGCTATGCACTATGCACGCTGCGCTGCCGCACCTGAGGCGGTTGTGGCGGTGCGCCCGCTGTCCGACTGGCGGTCGGAGGTGCCGGCAGACAGGCGGCCCAGCTGGCGCGCCGCAAAGCTGTGCGTCTGCATGGTGTTGGCTAGAAAGGGAGTGGGAATGCAGGAGACGCCAGGCAGCAGCACAGTGGTGCAGATCCGTGCGACGCGGCAGGCTCTACTGCCGGGGTGCAGACACTGCACAAGCTGCCAAGGCTAAGTGCCATCATCGGCAGGCAGCCACAGGCACCTGCGCCGCCGCCTCCTTCATCAGATTGAACCACTCGTCCCGGCAGCTCTCGCGGTTGCTGATGCGCCGCTGCTCCTCCTGCGGCACGCAGGGGCAGGCGGCAGGTGTGGGCAGCTGCCCGCTGGCTGTCGCCGATCCCAAAGCCGCGTGCACAAGTGCACGAGGGCGGAGAGTCCGCCGGCGCCAGCACATTCACCCATGCACACGACCTCTCTGCATCGTGCCATCCCGCAAACCTGGGTGCGTGTCCGGCGGCCGTCACTCGTGAAGGCCGACAGGCCATGCAGGCTAAGAATGCCGCCACCTGCCCGCACCTGATGGTACGCCTTTTCTGCACCCCAGGCGAGCAAGGGGTGGCAGGAGGAGACAGAGGGTTGCGAGCGACTGGGGGGAGAGGCAGAAGCACTCGGCGAACATCGCCGCTAGGCAGCACTGCACCGTGCCGGCCGGAAGGAAAGTCGCTGCAGCGGACACACAGGGCGGCGAGCTTGCCTGTGTGCAGCTGCGTGCTGGCAAAGTGCTGCAGCGCCGCCTGCATGGCGGCGTGCAGGCGCGGGAAGCTGCTGCGCACCAGCGGCAGCGCCGCAAGGTCTGCCAGCAACTGCGGACCCAGCCCCCGGATCAGCCCGCCTGCGGCATCGCAGCGGAAGCCAATGCTATGCCGGATACACGCAGGCACGGCCGGCGGGGCCCAGGCATGAGAAGCAGGGCACCAGGGCGAGCGCGCAGCAGGCAAAGGCGCAGCGGCGCTGCAGCCAGGGCAGTGAAGCGCTCTGCTGCTCCTCTACCCAGCTCACCTGCCGATTGCAGTACGCAGCAGGCGTACCGCTGGGCCAGGCCGCCGCACCACAGCACGGTGACGGGGGTCAGGGCGGGGTCGATGCGTACCGCAGATGGTACTGCCAATAGGTTGAGCAGCAAGTCCAGCTCAGCTGCACAAAGGGGAGGAGGGAAGCGGAAAGGACGACAGTCGGGGCAGGTTACGGTCGAATCACCACCCGGCAATGGCCCTCGCCCACGGCTCCACGGGCAGGAGATCACAACCCGGGCATACAGCCAGCCGCCCACCCACCCACCCGAGAGGCTGATGCTGCTGCAGCAGCGCAGCAGCGCGGCGTGCAGCTCCGCCAGCAGCCTCCCCTGCGGGCACAGCGCTACATCTGCCTCCTCCTGCCCCTGCTCCAGCCCCAGCTGCTGCACGCCGCCTCGCTGCGCCTCCTCCTGCCCACTATCAGCAGCGCCCTGGCTAGCAGAGTCGCTTGGCTGCAGCTGCATGCCGCTGTCTCTGAGCTGCAGTGGGCGGGTGAGTGAGGGCGGGAAGGAGGCGGGCGCATCGAAGCCGCCGCTGGTGGTGCCTCCAGCTGGCGCCAGCCTGGCGCCCATGCGATATGCCGAATCCAAGATGCGTTGTTGCCTGCTGAGGGAAGGGTCATCGCTCCTGCCTGCAGCTGCGATGCCCTCCCTGCTGCTGCTGCTGCTGCTGGCACCCAAATGCAAGCTTTCGAGCTGGCAGCCCAGCGCTGCCGCCAGCTGCTCCCCGCCTGCCGGCGCACCAGCCGCCAGGCTGGGCCCGGCATGGGCCGCCACGGCCACCCTGGTGACGCTGCCCTCTCCCTCGCCCGCCTTGCTACCATCCTTGCCAGCTGCTGCTGCTGCTGCTTCAGTGCCTGCTGGCTTAGCTGGAGACAGGACATCAAAGGAAAGCTGCTGGCACACCGACTGCTCGTCGGCAGACCACAGCAGCGGGCTCCGGCTGCTGCTGCCAGCCTCGCCGCCGCTGCCGTCGCTGCTGCGCGTCCCCAGCGCTGACGCCGCGCTTGATGCGGCAGAGGCCGGCCGGCCAAACGCGCCTGGCGCGCATTCCAGCAGCCCGCCTGCCATCGGCGTGCCCAGGCGGCTGCCGGGCCGCGAGCGCTGCTGCATCTCTGACTGCTGCAGCATGTCGCGGCGGGCTGCGTGCGGGGAGGCGCCTGAGGCGGCTGTGATGAAGGTTTGCTGCACCTCCGCCGGCTGAGCCAGCCTGATGGGTGTGATGCGTTTGGGAGTGGACCCTTCGCGCCCGGGAGAGCCCGCCGCCGCCGACGGCGAGGACGCTGCCGCCGCGCCGCGTCCCCCGCCGCGCATCAGCAGGCTGGCAGCCACCGCAGCCGCGCCCGGAGCAGGCACCCGCACCGCGATTGGCGGCGGGGACATGGGCAGGGTCGCCGCGGCGGCGGCTGCCGCCGGCATCGCCGCGTGCTGCTGCTGCTGCTGCTGCTGCTGCGCAGGCGCTGGTGGCTGCGGCGAGAGCGTGGGCTGCACAGCCTGCGGCGGGTCGCCCTGCTGATGCCCCGCCGGCTGCCCAGCCGCCAACTGGAAGAGCGGGTTCACATCCATGCTGGCCACCTTGGCAGGAACGATTGTGCGCCGCTTGCCGCCCTGCACAGCATGCCATCACTGGTGGCTGGGCGGCGGCACGGCACCGGGCAAGCGGGCCAATCGGCAGGCAGCAGTGAGTACAATAATGCAGGCGGCAACAACATGAACAGTCGTGTTGACGGTGCGCACCTGCTGTTGCCGCTGCTGGCCCGGGGCCGCCGCCAGCAGGTTGGCCGGGCTGGCCCGCCCAGCTGCGCTGCCGCCGTGCTTCTTGGCGCTGCCGCTGCCGCCGCCGCTGGCAGCGGCAGCTGCCAGGGTGGGGAAGTTGGCATCATCCAGCAGCCCCGGCTGGCGCTGGGGCTGGCGGATTTGGTGGGTGCTGGGGCCAGGCTGGGGCCAAGGCTGGCCGGATGCGCTGCCTGCGCTGCTGCCAGCGGCAAGCGGCTGGGGCCGCCCCTGCGCCGCCTGCGGCCTGGGCCGGGGCGCCGCCGGCGCCCGGGCTGCCTCTGCTGCCGCGGGGCCGGCTTCCGCGGCTGCCGGCTGCGGCTGCGGCGTGGGTGGGTGGCTCCCAGCCTCGCTGCTGCCGCCACCCGCAGCCTCTTGCTCCGCCGCAGCCAGAACCAGCTCCGCCTGCTCCCGCACATGGTTGAGCACATGCACCCTGAAGCTGGCGGGCCGCAGCACCGGGCGAGGCGCGCTGGGCGACTTCCAGGGGCTGCCCAGGCGCAGCTCAATGGGAGGAGGCTGGCTGTCGTCGCCCAGCGCCCAAGCCAGTGCTGCCGACAACTCGAGTTGTCCCCCCAGCACCGCCTCCAGCAGCTGCTGCTCCATCGCACTCTCCTGGTCACCCCGGAAGCATGCTGGGCACGCGTGACAGAGGGCGGCGCGAGCAGAAGAGCTTCAACTGAGCGCAGAGCGGAGCGCTCTGGGGCACCCCGGAGAGGGTGAAGACTGCAGATCGAATGCCGTGGGTGATCGCCGCTGCAAATTGCAGGGAGCATGCTGTGCCGCGCTGCGCTGTGCTGCCGCCGCTCACCGCTCGCCGCCGGCCCCTTGCCGGAGTTCATTGCAGAAACAGCTTCAGCAGCATGCATGGCGAGATGCGATGGATTAACAGAGTGCGTTCATGGATGTAGCACAGTACATGTTCTGCCGCACAGTACATGTATCAACAGACGCATGCGGCGAGGCATGGCTTCGCTGCAGAGCTGTTCAGTGTAACCCACCGTTTATCGTGCCTCCGCAGGAAGGAACGGTGGGATGCACACTGCACTTTCGCACAGCCTCATGAGCACCACAGCCATCACCACCTGCCTCCCAGCGCTTTGGTCCGCCAAGCAGCCTGGCAGCGCGATGTCGCCCCACCTTGCCAACCTTCACACCCTGGATGCTTGCATGCCTTGCCATGCTGCACAGCTTCACACATGCGGTGCTGTGTGCGCTTTTTCATGGGGAAGAATCTGAATGAGTGATCTGCATGAAACGCAGCAGGCCAGGACGGGCGGGAAACAAAAGACAAAAGGCAGACAACTGAAGTCAGCGGGGCCAAAATGGGCCATTAGATGCTGCGTGTAATGTACACTGCCTGTCAATAGCAGAGACTGTGGGTATGCGGCTGCGCTGAATGGTGGTTGCCGCCACAGGCTCCCCACCCAGCCGCTGGCAGGACAGGCAGGCCGGGAAAGGTGCCCGTCGCTGCCGCTCATGCGTCCGCCACCTGCACCCGCCACCCAAGCTTCATATGGATCGTGCACTGGTAATACAGCAGGTCGGGGGTGGTGGCGTCTGGCATCCACTCCAGCAGGAATGGAGCCTCCTCGGTGCCTGGAGGGCAGCGGGAGCAGGGACAACCGGTTCGGCAAGTGTGTGTGGGGGGGTGGAACCGGCAGCAGAGCCAGACCCATCTTGCACTGCGCCAAGCACTGCCCACACACCCTGCTGCCAGCCAGTCCAGTGCCAGCTGTCGCCAGCTCACCGTGTGCCTCCTCGCCTCCCCCATAGATCGTCTCGTTGGCAAAGCCGCTGAAGGAGCCGCCACCCACGATGCTGTCGGTCAGGTAGAAAGGATGGTTGGGGCCCGCCATGACTGCAGGCAGGAGCAGAGGCAGGCCAGCGGTGGGTAGGGGTCCATGGCAGAGCATGAGCTGAATCTTGCCAGGGGTCGGAGTTGCGAGTGTGTGTCGGATGGGCCACGGAGGACTATGCAGCCCTGCCACCCTGCTGTTGCACGCGGGCTTGCCGCCAGCGATCCAGGCACCAGCGCCACCCCGATTTTTGCTGCCGCGCCGTCGCCGCCACCGAGCCGAAGCCCAGGGCCCTGCCAGGCTGGCGGCGCACCTCTGAAGGTGTAGGGCGTGCCGCGCACGACGCTCAGAACGGGCGACTCCTGCTGGTTGATATGGTAAGACACTCCCCACCCAGGCGGGTTGGGGTAGTTGGGGTTGGCTGCACGGCAGGGAGGCGGGGCGGGAGAGCAGGCAGAGGTAGGTCGCAGCAGGGGTAGCAGGAGGAGACGGCGGGCTGGCATGGGCTGTGCTGGTGTGGGCTCTCGCAGGAGGAGGCAGCAGGGGGCAGGGCAGGCGCCGAGACATCCGATGCCAAGAGCAGCGCACCGCACCGCACAGGGCAGCACAGCACAGCGCAGAGCACGCAAGTGCACAGCCCTGCATGCCGCAGCGGCGTCCCAGCTGTGCACACCTCCTTCCGTCACGTTGAATTCGGCGACGCCCGACAGCGTCGCCACGGGCGTGCGCGGCGCGGCCGCGGGCGCCGCGCCCGGCGTCGGCGCCCCCGCCGGCGCCCCCGCCTCTGCCAGCAGCGGGCGGCAGGAGGAGGGCGGGGAGGCGGCGCCGAGGTCGAGGCGGTAGCCTTGCCCCACGGGGGCGTGCACGCTTTCTTCTGCCGCCAGGCCCGGGAGCTGGATGCGGTGGTAGAGCACCACCGGCTCCGTCACGTTGCTGCCCTCGCTGACGGGGCCCACTGCCCACACCGGGAAGCCGGAGCCGTCGAGCGGCCAGGCGCGGTCCCAGGCGTCGCTGGCCGCCAGTGGGCGCGTCAGCGTCACCGCCAGCACCTCTCCCACCTGCCAGGGGGGCAGGGTATGGGCGGCGGCAAGGAGGGGAGGCCAGTCAGCGGGGAAGGGGGAGGGGCTGTCAGGAGGCAGCCAGGGGCAGCCCCGGCAGCGGGCAGGGCAGGGTGGCTGTGATGGCTGCCGGGGCATGCCACCCCTCCTTCTCCCCCGCCTCCAGTCCAGCTCCAGGCCCCAACTCCCACCAGCCCCCCAGGCCCCAGCTCCGTCCCCATCTACGCCCCAGCCTGCCCTCTCCTCACCTTGCTGCACCCCAACAGCTCCACCTGGTTGGTGGCCGGGTCTCCCGACAGGCCGAAATCGGGGCACACGCCGCCACGCTCGGTGTAACTGCACTGCAGACGGCTCTGCAGCATGTAGTCAAAGGCGAAGCACTCGCCGCCGATCATGCCGCCTGCAGGGGGTGGCAGGGCACGCGGCGCGCGGCTTGGTTTGTTGGGATGTTGTGTTGGGGATGGAAACTGGCAGGGTGCAGGCCTGCCTCCCGGCGGCCTGCCACGTGCCTACTAAGCTAGTAGCACAAGACCAGATCAGGCCAGCCCGCAGCACGAGGAGGGCGCCGCCCACCGCCACAAGAGCTCACAACCGGCCCGGACAGTACATTACTGCAGTACAGCGCCCGCCTGTTCTTTCCAGCCTCACCCACGACCACGTCGGAGCCGGGCATGGTGACGTCGGTGGCGTTGGCGGCGGAGAAGCCAAAGGCTAGCCAGCGGTTGTCGCCGCCCACGCGCCCCTCCAACCCGATCACCAGCTGGGAGTCGACGACCTGCAGGCAAGGGGGCGCGCATGGAGGGAGAGGAGGGGAGGGAGAGCTGGGGACAGAGAAGCAAGCGCAAGCCGGGCGGCGGGGGACAAGCAAGAAGGCATCCGTGACGGTCGCAGGGCTCAGGCCGGCCCAGCAGGCCCAGCAGGCACAGCGGGACCCCAGCGGACACAGCAGGCACCGCAGGACAGCAGCAGGCCCGCCGCAGCGCAGCTCACCTCCCAGTGAAGGTTGAAATAGCCGGGCAGCAGCTCAACGCAGTTGGCAAGGTCGAAGTCGGCTCCAGCCGCAGGACCGGGCGCTGGGGCGGGCTCCCCAGCGGGAGAGGGCTCGGGGGAGGGGGGAGAAGAGGCAGGGGGCTCTGGCTCAGGCGCTTCGGGCTCAGGCTGCGGCGAGTCGGGCACGGGGGTCTCAGATCTGACTGCGGCAGCAAGGAGCGGCACCAAGGGGCGGCGGCCGCGCGTTCAGGGCAGCTGGGCGGAGCATGGCATTGCATCGCAGGGTCTGGCGTGGTCGGGCGGGCAGGCACGGCGAGTGTGGCTGCACAGGTTGTAGCATCCAGGCGGCTTGAAGCAGCTGCAGCCCGGCGCCCTTTGCAGCTGCACGCTCCTCAGCGCAGGATGCCCGACAGCCCCTGCCCCAGGCTGCCCGCTGGGCCCTGCCACACACTGCCGGCAGCCCCTCCACAGCCTCCACCCCCTCCTCCCTGCCTCACCCTGCTGCAGCTCCACGTGCCCAAAGTCTGCGAAGAACTCCTCACACCACAGGCTGATGACCGAGAAGTCGTCAAACGTGATGCCGTCGCCCAGGGTGAAGGTGGCCTGCGGCCGGGAAGGGCGGCGAGGCGAGCGGCGGGCAAGCGGCGGGCAGTACAAATCAGCGACAGGTGTAGGCGAGCAGGGCGTTCCCACGTCGCCACATCCGAGGCCCCCAAACACCAAGACCCAGCGGTGGAAGCCCGCAGCGCCTTTCTACACACGCCGGCAGCAACCACCTGCATGTGCATGCACTCGTCCCACCCACTCCCACCCACCGTCTCCCCGTCGTAGCCGCGGGTCAGCTGGCCAGGCACGATGCGGCGGCCCTCGCTGCGGATGTCCCCGTTGTCTGTGGAAGGGGCGCCCCACCACCACACTTTGGGGCCCTGGCCGTCATAGGTGAAGCCATAGACCTCAAAAGTGCAGTCGTCCACGATGCGCACCGTGCCGCTGACCTGCAGCAACGGGGGCAGCACGGGCGGGGGGGGGGGGGAGTGTGGTCGTGCCCACCGCGTGGAACTGTGTGCTGTGGCGGGGGAGCAGGATGCAGCAGCACATGGCATGGCATGGTGGTATGGCGGTGGCGGCAGCACTGAAGGGCTGCTTGGCTACTCATAGCACGAGTGTAAGGGGGCGCTCTGCGAGCCTGGGGGGCGCAAGGGGGTGCGGCAGGGAGGCGACAGCAAGCGGCGGCTCTGGGCGAGGCACTCACATCGTGCTCGAACTCAGTCAGCTGGCCCTCAAAGCCAACGTAGGGCGAGGTGGAAGTGCACTGGGCCAGGCCTGCAGATGCGTACCAGCGGGCAGCGAGAGGGTGTGCGTGCCTGCGGCAGCTCCAGGCTTGCCGGCGGCAGGCGGCAGGCGGCGGTGAGGCGGGCGGCTGAAGGCACCGCCTGCCTGCGCGCGGCATGCAGGCGCTGCCCAATTCCGCGTTGCAGCTTGCCTAGGGTCGCCTGGGACAGCAGCAGGGCGGCCGCAAGCAGCAGCGCAGCCCCCGCAGGGTTCCCAGAGTGCAGGGCTTTGGACATGGCAGCGGTGTTTTGAGCACAGCAGACGCATCGCCGCCAAACAATGCGGGTGTGCGACCCCAGCTCTTGGTTTAAGACCACCCGGCCTGAGAGAGCGCCACCTGGAGGGTACTGCGCTGTTTGCCGCATTCTCTGACGCTTCTTTAGGATGATGTCAACTTGCGACTCCCAGTACGGAGGAAGGCGGGCACGAGGGCTCGATGCGGCAGCGCAAGGCGGCTGAGGTTGCGCCACACCGCCGTTCCTCTCCCGCCTGACATGACACGACATGTGTCGCCCGCCGCCAGCACTGCCACCAACCCAGTGGAGCATAGCGGCAGGCTGGTGCCATCCCCCTGTCTGTGCTCTCATGCCACCAACTACGTTCGTCAACATCATGATGATGGTGTTACACAAAAGGCGCCCAGCGCCCTCGATGGGCCGGCATGCGTGTTGCAGCAGGCCCGCAATGCAGACAAGAGAGCACGCTGTGCAGGTGGGCAGGCACAAGGGGAAATGAGAAATGAATGCAGTCCTGTCAGATCAGCAGCATTAATACATCAGAAAGCAATGTCCTTGTGAAGCCGCTGGCAGCCTGCAGCCGCAATGTGCAGCTCGCCAGGGCGGGGCAGGCGCTGCGCTGTGCCGCGTGCTCCGTGTGGTGCCCATGCGTCTGCCTGGGAACCCCAGCGGCGTGGTACAGGCAGCATGGGGCGGGCTGGCAGCTACTCTTCAGCCGGTGCGGGGGCCGGGACGGGAGCTTCAACGGGGCTCTCAGCGACAGGCTCCTCGTCTTCTGCAGGCGGGTCCTCATTAACTGCAGGGTGCAGGATGGCAGAGCCGGCTCAGGATGGTCGTGCCAGGCGCATGCTGTGCTGCCGCCCCCTCCCAGCACTGCTGTGGCAGCGCGTTGCTGCTGCCTGCGCTCGCACAGCCTTTCCGGGGCTCACCCTGCTGCAGCTCCACGTGCCCAAAGTCGGCTGCAAAGTCCTCACACCACAGGCTGATGACTGGAACGTCATCCCAGGTCAGGCCAGACTCCAGAGTGAAGGTGACCTGTGAGCAAAGTGCAGCGGCGGGGGTGGCAGGGGGCAGGCGGGGACGAGAGGCGGATCAGCAAGGAGGCCAGGCGAGCGGGCACCTCGGTACCAGCAGGCAGGAATCCCTCGCTGCCGCCCCAGTGCCACTCGGACAGCCAGCTGCTGCAGGACACACACAGGGACAACACGCAGCAGGCAGCCCACCGTCTCTCCGTCGTAGCCGCGGGTCACTTGCTCCGGCACGATGCGGAAGCCCTCGGAGCGGATGTCGCTGTAGTCGGTGGAAGGGCCGCCCCACCAGTACACATCGGGGCCCTGGCCGTCGTAGGTGAAGCCGGAAACCTCGAAAGTGCAGTCATCCACGATGCGCACCGTGCCGCTGACCTGCGGGCGTGGTGGCAGGCGGCAGGGGCAGCGAGAGGGCGGTGAGGGGCTGGGATGTGTGGGGTCAGCAGTTGGCGGGAAGCGCTTATGTGCTGGGTTGCATGCATTCCTGGGTGTGTGTGGTGAGGAGGTGTTCTGGGGGCTGCAGTGAGGCAAGTGTGCAGAGTCGGGGCAGCAGCGGTGCCAGCTGGGCGGGCGGGAGGAGGTGGGGCGCGCAAGAGCGGTGGGCGGTAGGCGGCCGCTGCAGCTGGCAAGGCGACCTCACTCACGTCGTGCTCGAACTCAGTCAGCTGGCCCTCGAAGCCGACGTAGGGCGAGTTGGAAGTGCACTGGGCCAGGCCTGCAGATGCGTACCAGCGGGCAGCGAGAGGGTGAGCACATATGACTGGGCGGGGCGGCGGGCGCAGCTCCTGAGCTGGCCGCAGAGGGCTGCAGGCGCGGGAGTGCAGGCGCCGCCCAATTCCGCGTCGCCGCTTGCCTGGGGTCGCCTGGGCCAGCAGCAGGGCGGCCGCAAGCAGCAGCGCAGCCCCCGCAGGGGTGGCAGTGTGCCTCTTGTTGTTTTCTGTGAACATGGTGGCTTGGTGATTTAATGATTGAAACCAGGCACAACGTGGCTTTTATAGGCGCTTGTGCACCCCAGCTCTTGATTTAATACCACCCGGCCTGAGAGAGCGCCACCTGGAGGGTACTGCGCTGTTTGCCGCATTCCCTGACGCTTCTTTAGGATGATGTCAACTTGCGACTTCCAGTACGGAGGAAGGCGGGCACGAGGGGCTCGAGGAGGCAGCCCAGGCGGCAGGCAGGGCCTGCCCCAGGGCGGCGGCAGCGCATGGGGGTGGGATGCAGTCTGCAGAGGGTTGGGAATGCGTGCACCCGGCATCCAGTGCATAATTTTCTTCATTTTAATCTGGTTTCCGAAGCACCAGGTTCATGTTTAGCGGGGTTTGGGAGGGAGAAAAACGTGCGCCAAGTGCGGGAGCCGTGCTGCCGCCGGCTCTCGTGAGCGGCGCCTCCTGCAAGCTCAAGCATAGGGATAGGAACAGCGCCGAGCACCATCAGGAGCGCTCCCTGGGGAGGAGAAAGACGAGAGCACATCAATGCCGCAATCAGGTGACGAGTGGATGGCACTCGGGCGCCGTGGGTCATATAGCGGAGCTTGGCCACGCTGGGCGCTGCACCACCCGCCAGCGGGTGTTCCTCTGCTCAATCCTTTCGTGGTTCCGTTGTATCCCAAGTGGGGGACATCGACCTCACAAACATGCATTCTCTCCCTCCCTTCCTATCCGGCTCGCATTCCCCCGGTGCGCGGGAAGGCGGCGCCGGCGGAGGCAGGTGGGGAAGCGGGGAGCCGCCAGGCGGCGGCGGGGGGTGGGCGCCG